TTTCTCAATTAAATTGAAATATTAAAAGTAATATCTTTTTGTTGAAGCTACTCTACCTATACTCAGAATTGTTTATGTCTAGAATCAGGCTTAATAAATTGATCTACTGAACATATAGTTATCTCAATTTTGGTACTCATATAGATAGTTAATCATATTTGTTCTTTAAAAGTGGCTCACCACTACTTTAGTAGATTCCTTGGTTTTAGCTTGAAAAATAGTTTTATTTTCGAATGGCATTCTCATTTATAACTTTTTAAACTTAGGAAATTCTTTTCTTTATTATATTTGCTCTCGCTTAAAATTACTTTGAGTTTAAGGCTTTTAGATACTGCCAAAGACTAACAAAGGCTGCTTAAGCCATTGCCAGCAATAAAAGTATGAACTTGCTTTGGCATTTTATTCGATCTAAGCAATCCATAGTTTGGACAGGTACCCAGCCAATGGTCCAATGCTGGAAAACACTAATACTATGACAGAGGACACGGGACTAGGTACGTCTCACAAAGTCGAACCAACACTATAAAGCTAAAGAAAACTGTGACCATACGGAAGGCCACACCTTGGTCTTTATATCTACAATGTATATCTTGATCTGGTTTCATGTTACTCTTTTATTCTGTTTTTTATTGACCTAGCTCACCACATACCTCTTATTCATTTTCGGGGCCACCTGATTTTAGAAAAAGCGTATCAACTTCGCCATCTTGCCGGCATGAAACACGTCCTTTCCATCTAACAAGCCAAAATGTTATTGTCCCGTTTAGTAACATTGTCGATATTGGTTGCGGGCAAGGACATTTGGCGAGCCGTCTCGTTTCCTTAGTGCAGCAGCATCAAAATTTATGGCAATCTCACCAAAAAATATCAAACGAAATACCCTCAATTCTCAGAAGACAACTATCACTTCCACAATTTCCTACTCAAGCTCAACATCAATATAAATCTCAGGAAATTTGGCAAAAATTACAGCCAATAGGATCCCGATATCTTCGAAATAACCATATTGCACCAACCAATCATCAATCGATGGAATGTTTAATCAGAACGCTTTCTCAAGATATGGAAATACAGGACCTAAAAGAAGTAAAAGACCATCAGCCTCAGCAACGACATATTGTTGCCTTATCTACTGGCCTAACACTACCAGTTAACATCTGCCCCATACGCACCATCATTGAAGTTGATGCGAATAGGCAGCTTCACGACAAAGCATGCTCTTTTAAGACATCTGATACTCTTACATCAAGGGTCATTAGTCACGGTGGTCGTTTAGTTGCCTATGGACATTCGGAGCCAAGTGATGGTCAGGGAGATCTGTATAAGCCAACGATCCCAATTTATAGGGAGCTTTTCTTCATTGATAAAAAAAGAATAAAGGAGCTACTTACCAGGTTTGAATAGTTATAAGTCTCATTTTGCGCTCAATCTTAGCTTGAATAATTCTCTGTCTTTAGCACTGGTTGATTAAATTGATACTGAAGATTCTGAAACATCATCATTAGTTTTTGTTTACGTTTAACTATAAGCTTTATGCATACATCCATTCGTATGCCATATACTTGCAAGAAAATACGAAATCACAAGCTTTGAATTAAGTTATAGGAAATATATAAGAACTTAAATGGTAATTAACATGAGGCTAAAACACTTGACTAGGCTTACTTGAAATCAATGTTGCTAGTGTCGAGTGTTGAAACAATTTTACTATATAACTATGCTCGCAGAGGATTGAAATGAGCTGTGAACGCGATAATGTTATTTTTGAAATAAGCCTCAAGCTTGTCAGGTAAATATGGACTTCAAATCTGACTAAAGAGACGTCTTGGCTGTATGAAAATGGAATAAGATGAATAAAAGAAAGGAAATAAAGCAGACCTTCAGTCAGTAAGGTTGATCTCTTTCGAAATTTGCTGATAGGCCTGTTGACAGATGTCTGATAAACTTTTCGAAGTATGCCTTGTATGGCTGGTAAATAATGCCAGTCTCGTCTAGCTAATTTCCTGCTACAGTTTTTTTCAAATTGAAGATGGAACTCAAGCCTTTTACCTTGGTTGTATAATATTTGTTCAAATGTTTTGTTAATTTTCTTGTTTAAGCAGACTTGACGCTTATCTGGTTCCCCATACATGTGAAGCAAAGATGGAGTCAGGTTATTATTTACTCTCCGGTCTCCATTGTTGTGGAGATTTGTCGATTGATGCCTTGCGCCTTTGGTTGGCCGATTTTCGAGCAAAATATCTTGTGATCGCCTCTTGTTGCTACCACAAAATGATTGCTTCTCGAGTGAGTTATTATGGGTACTAATTTTATACAACCTAGGCAAAATGAACATGAAGCTATGCGAATCCCAACCCAATCTTTTTTTCTGTTTTCGTTATCAGCTCTTAAGCAAAGAGACGTAGCGCTACCTCGGATGGTATCTACCTCATCGTCATTATTTGTGTCGATAGCTTAGTCTTATGTGTAAATAAGTGGTCTCGAAATGCGCTTTCCTTCAAACGACTTATGCAATTAAACACTTCAATGCAAACAATAATCACCTGTGATTGTTCGTAAATAGTGGCTTATGGTTCTTGCGATTTCCGTCACATGATGCACGAATTCATCTGTGTCACAAGAAGGTGATCTGAGGGCTTCTAAATCCAGCATTTGAAATTCCAAGCCAATCTTATCATTTCAAACGAAATAGTATGTATTCTAGCAAAAATAATGCTTTTTGATGTTAGAATACCTTTTATTTCGTTTTAAGGGGCGAGTGGAAAGGATTTGTAAGTTGGTTTCAGCGGAAGCTGTACGAGGATTGCCTTGGAGTTGTGATTTTAGATTTGTGCGAATAGGTCCTCGACGTATCCTCCTCCTTTGACATCCGGTTAAACCAAATTACGAATCCCTTCTACTTGTCTCTTCAAACGAAATGCAAGGTACTTTAACATTAATTTATTGGGATTCTTAGAAACCCAGTTTTTCTACAATAATGCTTTTTCTAAAGAGTCTTTGGCAGACTTGGTCCTTCAGCCTTCAAAAGTAGCCATTTTGATTCGAAACCATTTAATTTATCACTTACTAACTCTTATACTTTTTATCTCACCCCTACCAGCCACCACTGAGCATTCGTTTGAGAAATGCCCTTCAGTCACAAGTGAACCAACCGGATTCCTCAACGAGTTTCCTCCCAAGTTTTGCCTCTATTCCTTCTTTACGTTTGGCATGCCAATGGTCCCCTCAACAATGGCTCACTTGGGGCCCCTACGAAATGAATTGTCATCGCCTGCGAACATTGTTCCGCGGTTTGCTGCAGTTGGCTATTTCTATATATTGCCACCAAGAGACTCTGGAGCCTAAGGCTTTTAGGCGTTTTTCACGCTCAGATCCATTATCATCTGTGGCCGCCTCCGACAAAGATTGTTTATATGTGGAAGATTTGAGTTTGGAAACTGCCTTAGAGATTTGCCTCCGTCCACACTGGAACAATCTTCTCATGCTTAAGTTTTCTTGCGGGCCTTCTCTCATCAACTGTGAAAAAAATGGGGAAAATTCAATCTTCCTCCCATCGTTTGATGAGATTTGGTCCTTTCTTTGTCTACATAAGAGGCCATTTTATTCATTGCAGGATCTTTGGAAGCTTATTCCCTGTTTGCTTGCCTTGCAGCAGTTGGTTCAACCTTTATTGGAGGCAGTAATATTAGTAGACAGAGTCCATTGGATCCATGAGGAATGTTGTGATTCTGTTCCTCTAGAAAGTATTGGGCTATTAAGGCTCTTTGATCCATTAATTTCTCCCCGTTGTCTTGCTATCGTGGCTTGTAAGGCCTAGATGTTGCTAAAATGATTATGTTTAATAAAGGTCTCAACAATAAAAATGTATCCTGCACACAAATGCTTCATCGCTAGCGAGTCCGGAAAATTTGGCTTCTAAGGAAGAAATGTATCGCAAATATAAGACTAGGCACTGCTCAAGCATACTTTTGTCCTTACGTACGATATATTATATTGTTTTACATAGTTTTTTGAACCAGCTATAGAAGAAACTTAGAACAACAACGATATGTATTCATGCTTTAGTTTTTTGTTGAATTCATCTGGTTTTAAAACTTAATATCGCCTTACAATACATAACGAATTCGCATCATTAGCATGTGTTGGTAAGGAGATATATGTATAAAGCCGGTGAGTGAAACTTCAAAAATCATGCTTGCTTTTATTTTGTAATCAAATCAAAAAGAATCTCATTATTAAGCTGACGAAATAAATATTAAGTTTAAGGGATAAGAACATTTGGAAGCCTAATTATCCGAATTTGTACAAAATCCGATGGGATTTGAGGCCAAGGCAAAATGTAATTTAAAAAAACAACAATAAAGAGCAACTTTGTGGATAACACTGTTTTAACGACTACACGTTTGCACAGCTGATAAACATTCGCAAATTGGAAACTTCTTACTCCCTATTTATAGTTATGAATATATAGTTATAATTGCCAATCTCTAAAACCTTTAGACATAAATTCTAGGTAAATGAAGAGAATCTGGGTTTCGAAGAATCCCTTTATATATTCATATCATATAACTTTACATTTTTGGGAAAAATAGATAATATGTGATCGTAAAATGGCTTAACCGAAGACAGAAGAATGATCCCTATACGGGTATGAGTGAATTTGTAAAAATAATAGCTTGGCGTACCTCATTAATGCGCTGAACCAGCTCTAAGTTTTCGTCTTGTTTAAATAAAATGTGTAATTTATATAAGGTTTGTTTCATGTTCTAACCATGTCTGTGACATAGCATACGAAAATTCTGCAAGTATTTTGGCCGAGGACCTTACACAACTCCTTCATCCACTTGACCTCTATGATCTGGTTTCGATGGTCGTTTGGATGCTAACGTATTCATGACGGAGTGGAGACTAGTACATTTTGGATTATAAAATTTTGTAATAGATAAGGGCAAGTGATGCTCATCTTTGAGGTGATTTCTAGTCAATTCTTTGTGGGCAATTTTGTCTATCACTCCGTACACCATCCCGGTCGAACACGGATGACGTAAAGTGTATAGGCCATGAAGGTATGGCCTTTAGTATGGTCGATTCTCCTTTCATTGTATACAAGTTGTCTTGCCCTGTTTTCGAAACCTGGTAATATTGTCATGAAGACCTAAAGAATGCACCTTATTCGGAATCCGTAGTATTTATGATTTCTAGTCGGACCGTGTACGGGGTATACTGCCAGACCATATTACAACTCATCAAAGAGATAAGTGAATTCGATCTTTAGACCAATTATCTCCTAAATAGATGTATCTCGCTCTATTTCCTGGTGTATTCACCTATCATATATCCTCGTAAAACGCCTTCGTTATCACAATTTATTACCTATTTGCACTCCCCG